TTACTTTGGGTATCTTAACAATGGAATCAACTTGATCGTCCAATAAGCTAACAGATGTATAGTGACAGAGTAATTTCACACCTCAACTGACCTTGGATGACTTATCTGATCCTGCTGTGAAGGTACTGCTTTAACCCAAAGGAATTTCCATCAGAAGATGAGCTACCAAGTGTTGAGAGAGATGCAGCCAGGCCAATCAGTTGAGCAGCCAAAGAGTAAGAAAGACAGAAACACTGATGGGGAAAAGGAAAGGTGTGAGGACTGTTTATTAATTGTGAGGAGGTTCCAAACCACAAGACCACCGACAGAAGTGCACATCACTGTGACAACAACAGAGGAAGCATACTGGTTGGCTTAACGAATAGTCTTCATCTTGTTAGGATGCTGAAGTATAATTGCAATCCATGAGAACTTACTGATAAAAGTCTAGTCAAATCCAAACTCTGTTCTGCAACACATTCTCTTGCTCCCTAATCATCACTCAACTTCTTTCTAACTTTATTCTGGTCTTTTCTTTAAAATTGTTTCCTAATATTTGTGCTACCAATGGTATTTTCTTAACACATAACTTGTAAAGAAAAACTATTAAAATGCTAGTTGGTACTTTTTTTTTGTATGAATAAAAGATTTGACAATCCTTCCCTTCCCCAACCTGGAACAAAAATAAGGAGTAGAAAGCATGAAGACTCCTTACACTTGACCCACACCATTTGCACACAGGTAGCACAGGGCAGCCCAGTGCAGCTCTCCTCAATGCCCTCCCTGTGGTCACTTGGACTGCTTACTGCCTTTCTGGGGCTTTGCAGAGGCCACCCTCGCCTCCTCCTCTGGGATGAACACACTGATGGTGAAGTCACTAGTCTCCGAGCCGTACTTGTTCTTCACAACCAGCCCATATTTGCCAGAGTCAGAGGTGGTCACCCCACTGAGGGTGAAGTAGGCGGTCTTGCCGGCTTCGAACTTGAGGCTGCAGTGGTCATCTGAGGCGAGGGACTTCTCATTCTTTAACCAGGAGATCTCTGGAGTTGGGTCACCCCACACGGTGCAAGTGAGATTAAGCGCCTGCAAAACAAGTTTTATGAGAGGGAAGGAGAGATACCATATATAACGATCCAACTTCAAGAATCCCCTGGTGGTGTGGAATGACCCAACAGAGGATGAATATAAACCTCCCAGATCAGGGTTTGAACTTGTTACGTGTATGCAACCGTGTGATTTATAGTTTGAAATTAAACTTGAGTAGGTTTCTTCAGGGCCTCGGCTCTCTAGGTTCTGGAATGCTTATCATCAAAATCACACGGACTTTGCTTCCAGTTCCCATTTCCATTTTCGTTTTCATAAACACATAAACGCCTTTTGCTCTAATGTGGCATTTTGGACTCTGTCTCAGTAGAGAAACTTCCTCATTGCCATAATCACCACCTGCTCACTTTTGCACTTCAATTGCATCACAGAACCCAGCAGCAGAATCCTAACAGCTGTTTCAGATAATGTGAGTAATTTTCAAATTCCATCTTCCTTATCTTATTTCTCCCCACAAACCCTATTCAATCTGTTGCAGTTGCTCTACCAAAATGTATTTCTATTTTCCTGACCTTTTATTATATTTCCATCTGTGCTGAAATGTTTAGGCCTATAGTTTTATTCTACCTTACATTTTGGTTGAAATTTTTTTTCAATAATTGTAGATTCATATACAATTGTAAAAAACAATACAGAGATCCTGTGTACCCTTATCCAGTTTCCCCCAATAGTTACATTTTACAAAACTATAGCATGTCACAACAAGTACATCGGTATTGGTACAATCCATTGATCTTATTTAGATTTCCCCAGTTTTATTTGTTTCATTTGTGTTATGTATGTTTACTTCTATTCACTTCCATAACCTGTCTAGGTTCATGTATCCACCACCACCATAGGGATAGAGGATGTGTTGCTTTTATAACCACACCCATTCCCCCACCCACCCCAACCTCCCAACCTCATTCCTAGCTCCTGGCAACCACTCATCTGTTTTCTGTTTGTTTCCAAATTTTGTAATTTCAAAAAACACTATATAAATAGCATCATACAGTATGTAACCTTCTGCGGTTGCCTTTTTCACTCAGCATAATTCTTTGCAGATTCATCCAAGTTATTTTATGTATCAATAGTTTGTCCTTTTTTATCATTGAGTAGTGTGCCATGGTATGTTTACATCTATAAGAGTTATCTTGGCTGTTAACAGTCTTGGACTATTATGAATAAAGCTGCTATGAACATTTGTGTACAGGTTTTTATTTGAATATAAGTTTTAATTTCTCTATGATAAATGCCCAGGAGTGCAATTGCTGGGTCATATGGTAAATGCATGTTTCAAACTGTTTTCCCGAGTAGTTAGACAATTTTGATTTACATTTCTACCAGCAATGTAGGAGTGATTCAGTTTCTCTGCATACTTACCAGAATTTGTTGTTGTCAATATTTTTTATTTTAGCAATTCTGATAGGTGTATTATAATATTTTATCGTGGTTTAATTTGCATTTCCCTAATGGCCAACATTGTTGAATTTACTTCACATTTTAAATTTCATTATTGCATTTCTTTCTTCCTAAAATTCAGTAAGAATAATGAAAAAGAAGCGCAGTTGGATGAAACTCGTCTCTCATTAAAGCCTTTATCTAAAGGCTTTAATAAAGATATGCCTTGTTTTATCACCCCAGTTCCAGTCACTCATCATATGTCTCTATTGCCATTTTGATGCGGGAAAAGGTTTTATTCCACTACAAATACCTCTATCCCTATGACTGGTATATTAAACTTGGTTTTAACAAAACATAGGGGTGAAGAAAGTGAATCCAGGTTAGAAATTATATTCATTGCTTTTCAGAGAGATTATTATGGAGTCAAGAAACACCATTTTAAAACTAAATGGAAAGAAA